TTGCTAATTTAATCATTCACATATTCTTTATTTTTCTTACATTTATAAATTAATATAAATTTCTGCAATGGCTGATTGCTAATATTCCTGATGATAAAAGTGTATCTTAGAAAATCATTAGATGGAAAGTGCAAATATTGAAGCAACAGTTCTAATTATAGTACCTCGTACACACTTGAATAACTTTCAAATGTGTTTGAAGTTTGGTCTTCAGTTTCGTAAGAGATAATTCATAAAATTCCCACCATCATCTGGAAACACATTTTCTAGTAAATTGTGAATTATCCCAAAATTATCCTTAAGAATGGAGAAATTCACATCTCTCGCCAGGTTGGATTAGCGTGATCGAAAACAAATAAAGTAAAATGCTTAATAGATTACTAAACAAATGGCTGAGTGAAAAAGCAGTTATACTTCCGCTTCTCACGTATTTTAAGCCAAGTTTCCAATTCAGCGAAATACCAGAGCCGTCAAGCGCTTGAGGGAAAAGCAGTAAAAATAAAATTTTGGAATAAACTTTTTTTAATAGGTAATTCTAATTCATAATGATTTCTAAAATGTTCCTAATATAAAGTTAAATTTAAAAAATATAATTTTAAAGTATAATTCGAAAATTATAGCAAATGGATCAAGTTTCTGGTTTGAATCTAATTTATTTTCTCGACAAAATTAAAGTGGAAGACAACAGATGCTTGAAAGATTTAAATGCATGGAATCACGTGGAAATGCGGAGCTAGTTTAAATTATGTTCTGTAGACTGCACTGGTCTTAAATTTTCCCCAAACCGAATCCTAAAATGCTCTTGAATCTTTCGAATCTCTTTAATACTTTAACACTTCACGTAGGATTAATAAGAAAAAAAAAATTACTTAAAAGTCTTCAATTAAAGCAAAATTTGAAACCTTCTTTTAATGATAAAATACACTTTTTAGAGATATAATTTAGAAAATTATTTAGTAAATGGTAGTTTAGTACGAACATTAGCAATGAATTTCTATTGGCAATAATTTAGCTACATTCAGTAAAAGTTCAAATGTTCAAATACGGAGTTCAAATGTTTTCAATATAATTTGTCAGAAACACATCTGTGCGACAATTCAAATTTTTTCTACACATTTGTTCACAATATTTTTAAATCAAAGCAAATGCTTTATCAGAAATGCCTTCGCAAAGGAAGCTCATTAATAGCACAGCGGATCAAATCGCTGAACACTGATAGTTCCATCCGGGGCTAAAACTCCATCTAGTGCTAGCTGCATGAGTATTTTCCTTATCTTTTCCCTCTTAGATGGAAGTAAGTAGTAGTTTCCCTCAGAACACCTTCACGAAGGCATCTTTCCCTAAGTCAGATAGCCCTAGCGTGATTAAGAAATCACGCTAGGGTTATTATCCATTATTTTGTAAAGGGTTTGCATATACTAAAAGTGACGGATATTTACGTTACTCAAGAAAAAACAATGAGTCTAGATAACCATTCAGAAGCAAGCAAAAAAAAAAACTGGATACAAACTACCTGTTTTCTGTGGTCTTATGCGTTCGGCTGCAAGTGAACTTTTAATGCGAACTCGAGTAAGTTTAATAACTAGTATTAAGAGAATACATACTCTTACAGTTTTCCCTTACCTCTCAAAACTAGAATTTAAACATTAAACGTAAGTAAATGCGGTACTTTTCCGTTTTGCCAGCGCAAACGATAAAGTCGCCAATAATGGTACAACTGATGCCAGACGGAATATCTTCGCTGGTAACCTTTTACGCCTCATTTTCAAAACAAGTCGTAGCCATTTCTTACCAGATTGATTGTTTCTTTCAATACTGGCATACAATTACATAGAATATTTACAAAGGTAGTTCAATTTTATGCCCTAAGGCCATTCGCGGTCATTAAGTCAATTAGGATGCAACCACACCGCTCACCCGAAGGCGAAAATATAGAAAAGGCAAAATCAAGGGTTAAATCCATCCATTCTAATGAGAATGCACTAGCGAAGTAAAGCACTGCGGTTTTACATAATTTCTGAGTAAGCTATTCGTACGAATTGAAATAATTCTTGCATTTAATCTTGTATTTTAAATTAAGATTTAACTTGAAATTAATGTAGATAATTACTGAGAGAATTATATTTTTTTAGAGTAGTTTACGTGAGATAAGATCACTTTGAGTCACGTGATACGAACCGGCGAATCAGGATGTTGAACCATGATAGCATAGTAAATTCTTAAATTAATGCCTTTTTACAAATTTATTGTCTTTATTTATTGGCCTTTTTACAAAATTTTAAACTATATTAAAATGTTTAGGCCTTCAAAATAAAAAATTCTTAGAACTAATATTTGTTAACATTTTTTATGCGTATACTGTATGTTGTCGCCAACAAAGTCTGCTTGGCGAGATTTGCGCCGGCGAAACGGAAAAGTACCGTAAATGCATATAACTTATATTTTTTCCAAAACAAAAAAATTAAATGGCACTATATAACTTAATGTACTTTTATAACACTTACATTTTGTACAGTTTTCATGCATTATTCCAGCTGTCCAGTTGGCTAATACAGCTATACTGTGAGAACTTTACCAGCTCATCCCACTACCAGTTCGATTCTCGGCGGACCTGTAAACTAAGCCCGTACCAATTTTTTCTTAAAAAATCCTCGTAAGAACATCCCTTCTAAAGAAGATAGACTTCGCAGGTTTGCCTAATTATTTAATTAGAGAACTAACGATTATCTCAGTTTATTATAAGAAAGATGCAAATATTTTAAATACAGTCGCTGTAGTCACCACTTATTATACATACAGTTCATTTCATTATAGTGATCGTGCTAAATGTCCCAGCTGACGAGCAAATATTAAAGACATTTCTTTTGTTATAACGTTCCTTTTTCTGTGGAACTGTCTGTTTCTGTAGAAATGTCTTTCTATTTTTCTCTTTATTTTTTCTGTAGAACGCAAAGAGTTGTTACAACAACAGTCAACTGTATTCAATAAATATTTAATTTCTATATTAAATGTAGTGCACTAAAGATATTAAAAAAACTTTTGTCAATGATAAAAGAATAAAATATAAAATCTGAAAGCTTTCAGATTTGATGGCTCTAGTTACCGTTGTTTTTTCACAATGCGAAAAACATGCATACATTCATGCAGATTCTTGATGATTTAATTTCTTTAATAAAGGGGCGATAATATTTGGTGGCAGCAATTTAAAACGTGATTTGCCGTTTATAGTGGAACGCCACAAAATGCAGTTTTGAGACTAATAGCCCTTCTGGGCTACTGCCCATATGGGCTAAAATGACAGCTAAGATTTCTTAATAATGAAATGTTAGCTAAATATAAAACAAAAGAGTTTATATAAACTGAAAATGAAAATAAATATATCAAATATGAGAACAAATTTTCACGATAGATAACTATTAAATAACTAAAATTTAAAAAAAACCATTAGCATTAATTAATATATTTTGTAGCCTATTAAAACATTTTCTTATAGTAGATGTAATTTACGGCAAAACATTTAAAGTTTAAGTAAACATTCAAAGTTGTAAACATCGAATACGTAACTAATTAAGGGAAAATAGTGGGGGTGTTTTCGTGAAGCAGTTTTTTAATATATGTGAGATAATAATGTTCACGTGCTACTTGGAAAAGCGACATAAATATCAGACAGTTGTAAATGTTAAACAGACTGTTCGCTGCTGCGAATAAAACTTGAGTTGAAATACCAGCATTCAGCTGCTTTATCCGCTTTTCTATTACTGTGAAGATTTCTCTAAAAGTATTAATAATCACAGATTGTTTTAAATTACCTAACAGATTCTTAAGTACTTTCATTATGAAAGAATTCAAGATTGTTTAAATAAAAGTGGTGCGTCTTATTAATGTTGCTTAAATATACTTAATTAATGTTACTTACGTATATAATGCTGCTCATTAATGTTAGAATGCAATATACTTATTAACTTAAGATTAAACAGTAATAGACTATTTATGTTATAAGAGCAAACGTTTATTTCATATGTAATAGTGTATAAACAAAACAATATTAAACATCATTGATTATTTCTGATTAATATTTGTTCGAAATAAATATCCATCGTATACGATCCATTTTATTTTACTACTTTATATAGTTTATTTAACATTTAATACTATATCATTTTTAATTAAATATACTATCTTCATCAAATCTAGTTGTGTTTTACCCAACGTATTTATAGTAATAATTTATTTACATGGACGAATATCTTTCATATATCTTCCGTAACAGTAATGGCCAATCAAAACCTTAACATTTTTAATTGAAATGAAAATTTTCTTTTTCATACGCCCTTAGCATTTATAATACTTTCTTTTCCCCAAATTACATAAAACTTTTATAAATAATTAGAGAATCCGTAAAATGATTAGAGAAAGAAATTATTTATTACTAAAATATTTATAGTTATAATCAAGGAAATTATTCATAATGTTAATAACAAAAAAACTGCAAAAATCATTATGATTACAAGCAAATTGATCGGTTATAACAATTTACATGTTATATTGATGAATTTCACTACATTATATATCGTGTTTACTCCTCTGTCCTGATATTAATATCGAGTGAGTATTCAATCAGTTATCATGCTATAAATAATACAATTCAGATCAACATTCGTGGTTTTTTAATACGTATTTCCACGCATATTAATTTTTAAAAATCAAAAGAATTTATTTTAGTATTCTATAACAACAAAATAGTTGTTGCTCAAATATATAGATAGCTAAGTGGCTATTTAAAAAATAACCATTTTACTGTCAGAGAATTACGAAACAGATAAAAAATGAGTGTAAAATTAATCTCACAAATGTGAAAAACCGTTAACTTTTTGTGTGCCTTTTAATCGATGACAAAAAGGTTTCAAGAAATTTATTATGGAATTTGAATTCTTTTGCGATGCCACATATCCAAACTTCAAACATTTAGCATTCTAAAGAACAAAATTAATTAATCTTACCTTTATTAATTAATCCGAGTGATTTGATAAATTCCCGTATCTGTGAAATGTCAAAATTGCTATCACTTAAAAACAAATTTTACCGAACATTCCAATAGGTAATGTATTCAAAATCTTGCAGAAAAATTTTCCCGCGTTCCAGTCAAACGCAGCTGGTGCAGAGCCACTCGTAGAAAAGGTGCACGTGTTACGGCGGTTTGAGACCATCGAATGAACGGTGTTAGCGTTTTGAAAAAGGGTTCCCACAGTGAGAAAAGATGACTGCAACAGGTTGTGCTGTTACGCAGGGTTGCCCTCGAAGAGATGTTGTACCGGTTGTTAAAGCGCCGAGTTTGAAATGAGGTTGATTTCAGAGGAACTCCGGTTCTTTCTCTCTGAAAACGTTTATTGACTTTGAATTATGAGAGGAAAGTTTCCTCGCGCTTTTCTAAGTGACAAAAACTAAGAAAAAAAATTAAGTACAACCAATCTTTCACATACTTTTTTTTTTCCTTAAATAAATAAATAATAGCACTAGCACTTTTGGAGGTAGGTTGAAGTCTTCTATTAAAAATATACCCTCTTATAAAATGAGTGCATAATGTACTTTCGCTAAAAATGAATACTTCGAAATATTTTTACCTGTTACAAATGGCAATATAAACCATTCGTTAAGTGCGAAATAAACCTTAAAAATTACTTGAAATATGTGCGCTAAATTTCTTAAACGAAATGTTAAAATACAAAGTTAAAATACCATGTGATATGCATTTAAAAATTTAACAAACCACTATATCTTATATTCAATACATTAGTTTGTGAACTTTTACTGGGTTTTATATTACATGCATTCCTTAATTTGGTTTATTTATTTAAGGTTTCATGGTACTTACGTATTATCGCAACCACCTTAGAAGAAGACGCCAGATTCTAGCAACCATTTCTGTAAAAAATCGCCAAACTGCTCCAAGGCGTCGCAAGATTACGTAAGTACCGATTTTGTTACTTATATTGGTGTCTCGAATATTAGTAAGTTTAATCGAATACGCCAAAGCAAATCAGGGCCAGCTACCTAAGCGAAGATATGCTCTCGTAGAGAAATTTTTAAGAAACAATGCTTCTTAATTACGCAACACATGGACAACAACCACCAGATAAACCATTCATACCCGGTTTTCGAGTTAGCAGCGTTGAGCGGTCTTATTAACGACTCTTAAAAACGTTGGCGAACAATAGTTATAGGCGGTCGAACAATAGTTATTGAACCAAATTTCTAAGTATTTAACCGAATGGACAAATGGGACTTTCTTTCCGAAGAGAGTCAATTTGCAGTCCGGTATATCTTAAACTTTATACTTGCTGATAACCAAAATTTGAGACTTTTCTGGATTGATATTTATCTTTCATTTCTGGTACTATTCCTCAGCCTCCGGAAACTTGTCCTGTATTCTTTCTAGACCGTGATTCGGCCTTCTAGAACTAGTAATTTGGCAGTGTCATTGATATAACCCGCAATCATAGTGTTGTGATCGTCTTTAAATTTTGGAAAGTCATTTGCATAAATCTAGATGCAGAGAAAAAGCCGAAGTAAAAAAATTCCGATGAGTTGGTAAAGATGTTGAATTCCGACAGCCGAACCGCTGGAAAAAAAAACAGGTGTAAGGAGCTTTGAAGGCGTAGTAGTAACGTCAGGAGTAGAAAGTTTTTAATAGGCTGAGAGCGAGGAGTTAACAAATAATACTTCTAGATTGGCGAGAGAGGGAATACTTATATTAATTTCGGAGTCATAGTTAGTTTAGAATAAAAATAAAATAATAAACATTATTTTATTCTAAATTAATGAGAAGTAATAAGAGGTAGCTAAATTATAAGAAGAAATAAAGGATAAGGGAGAAAATTCAATAACAGTGAGCACAAAGTAGAAAAGTTGTAGTTCTTAGCGATTAAATAAGCAACAAAAAACAAAAATTAATTTAACTGAAGGAGAACTGCTCCAGGTCTTTTTTATTTGAACTGTCATGGAAGTTGTAATCCAGCTGTGAGATACTTTCTTTGTTTATATTTTCAATATTACTGAAAATTTCCTTGCGACTTTTGCCATGTGTTTAGCTATCATTTTAATTTTGTATTCGTCGTGGATGTTACTGTTTCTTATGAGCCATCTATTAGCAGTTATTTATCTCAGTGTTATACCTTGTAACACTTCCAATTTATTAACATTAGTTTTACATGCGTAATCCTATACAGGACAAGCGTAAATGATGATGGGTTGCAGCATGATCTTATACACGATTACTTTATATCTACAGATAAAACTGAGTGCCGGAAAATTAAGGGCTTCGTAGTCCGGAACATGGAAGCAAAGTATGTTATGTGGGGATTCCATGTAAGTTTCTGTTCTAAAATAACACCTAAGTATTTAACAGCTTAGCCGAGGGGATGGTACTAATATACATGGTAAACATCATTTTCTTTTCCTGGTTATTAGAACTGCTTCGGACTTGTATACATTAATAGCCATTTTCCATTTTTGAAGTCAGGTTTCCAGTGAAAGAATATGTTGTTGTAGTGCTTGGATGATTAAACGCAGGGATGTATATTGTGTCATAATCGCTATGTCATCATCATACATGGCTAGTGTGGTGTTAATGTTGTGTGGTATGTCATCCATAGAAATAAAAAATAGTATTGGGCTTATTAAACTTCCTTGGGGGGACGCCACTGCGTATTTGCCGGCATGTGGAAAAATAATTTTTGTAGCCAACGACGCAAAATTTTATCTTTAAGATATGAATTAATGATGTATTACGTATCCTGGAAATCTCAGGGTGATTATTTATAGAGGAACCTATCGAACATACAAGAACAAAAGCCTTAGAAATATTAAGAAACAATGCAGCAGTGATTTGTTGATTTTGGAGCCCTTTGGAAGTTAAGTTCTGTCACTCTATATTGTTGATGGCAGGTAGAAGGTTTTCTTCTGAATCCATGTTGTTGTGATATATAATGTAAATGAAATCCGTCACATATACATAAGAACTCCAACTTTAGACGATCCTTTATTCATTTGATATAGATAACCGTAAAATCGGCAAATATTTAAATAAATTGCATTTCATAGGATATTCATTGTCATAATAAGATGATAACGAGTTTGGTACAAAAACGAATGAAATATGTTTTTCAAAATCTAATTGGACAAAATTTTAGTTAAATTATACCCACGAAACGGCATTATATGTCGGAAACCTGAATATGTAATTTTCTTTTTTAAACTTCCATATTGAAAAACTATTTCACGCTATAACCTGTGAAAAATAACGCTATTAAATACATTATTCCCAACCTTAAAAAACAAAAAGCGAACATCAAACTTTTGGGTGATCATTCATGCGGGATGGGTAATCGCTTCTCTTGCAAACAATTATGACTCTCAAGTATTTAGACAGGGTGTAATAATAAGACGTTCTTTTAGGTATGAATGGTCATCAGATGTCCAGACCTAAAATCCCGAGATTTTTTTGTAATGGAGTTACTGAAATCATGGTGTACAGAAATCACTTGAAGTCGCTGGTAATTTTAAAAGATTCCATTCAAGTATATTGGCGATCCATACAAAATGTCTGTATAGATTCTTGTCTGGAATATCGTAGCTTATCTTCGGACTATATTCGATCATATCAATGTTATAATCAGTATTTATTACAGATATTTGCGGTTCTGTTACAGATTGAACACTGTCTAATAGAAGTTATCCTAATTAAAAATTTAGCATTGCAATAAATGTTAAAATGATATTTTTTTTCATTCTTGTTGATCAGAACTGCTTTTGTACAATATTTCGTTTAAACTAGATCTTCCTGTATTCCATATCACTGTTAAATTATCCTTGAAAGTACAAACACGAAGAATATCCTTAGAACTACTTGATGGAATCCAAAAATAAATGTCAACCGGTCTCTTTAAGGAAAACATTGCTGCATGTCATAAAAAGGTGAAATCTTTGCAAAATATTTGAAATAAACTGAACTTCTTTTGGCATACATTTATTACGATGTATTCCAAACCTCTCCGCGTGTGAGAAGATATCCCTCCCGAAAGTATGCCAACCTATTTAGAAGGACACGCACAAGCACTAAATGGCGAAAAGAGGAAAAAAAAAAAAAAGAATGCTTGAAGGCCACGACGACCGAGTCAAGAGAAGGTTTAGAAGCGTTTAAAGAGTCGAAAAAATGCTATTCAGCTTTGGAATTGGGTTACTTTGATCAAGAAGGTGGAACAGTTTTGGTGATTCTTTCTGTCCACCATCCTGAACGATGTCCTGCTCTTTTCAACTTGGGTATTTCATTTGCATCCGAAAAAATGTTTGATTCTTTGTTTTAAAGTCACACCACATTTTGTTTTTTATTCCCAGTCAGTCAATCCACCGTAAAAAACTTTTTTTACTATTCTCGATAAGTTGCATTTTGGTTTTACGAACTAAGATATAAATTAGCTGTTATTGCTGTATTTCTTCGTTGTATTTTGAAAACAAAAAGAAATCGATGGCTGTAAAATCACATTTGTGACTGAACTCAGATTCATTTACAACTAACTGGTCGAGAGAAAAACATCTGCTGAAAGTCTATAAAGAACATTTGGATATTGCCACAGAATTTTCAAATTTAATTAATGCCCATAAGATATTTTAAATAAGACGTAGAAAGTAAGCGAATTTGCACAATTGCAATTTACGTTAAAAGCTAATGATTAGATTAGAATGATCATTCCTTCCCATATGTCACAAAGCATATCAAACAATGATTTTCTTAAACACTCTTCTGAAACTCTAGGCTCACCAGCGGCCGAGCGGTAAAGACGCTGAACACTGGTAGTTCGGTCCGAGATTCTAATCTCGCGAACGTGCTGGCTGCTTGGGCATTTCCGTAGTTTTCCCCATGTGTAAACGTGTATACGAGGCAGTTCCTTAGAAAGTCCTCCACGAAGGCATCTCTCCCTTTAGGCAGATAGCCCTCGTGTGCTTTGCCATAAATAAATAATCCAATCCAATCTGAAACTCTAATGAAAAATCTGAAACGCACATACGTAATCTCGTCATAAGACTCCGAAGAATAAAAATTCTTAGTTTCCAGCTTAAGATTCCACTCAGCACTAGTTTGCGCTTTGAAAGTAAAATAAAATTATGATTATTTTCACAAATGAATAAAACTTCATTTTGAGCGTTTGATCATTCCATTAAATATTCTTTTTTTAACGTAAATAAAATTTCCTCTTATATTCCATATTCCATGATGAAAATGTGTTTATGAA